GTTAATTGACAATTTGCCAAATTTTCGTTACTGAGAAATGTTATTTTAGATATATTTTATAATCCTATTCGTCAAATTATAACATGGACGGAGTTTTCCATGTAACCCTTTTCACGCTTGGAAAACAACTGTCCAAATAGCAAACACGATTCAGAAAATAGGGCAAGATTTAAGCCATTTATTTAAAGCTTTAGTGTTCATGCTGAAGAAGCCTCTGAGCCGTAGAACTATCGAAAAGGCAAAATTTAGAGACATAACGGGAAGCATTTTTCAAACGGCTTTTCAGTAATATTTATACAATTTAGCGTTTCACCGCTAACGCTTAAGATCCTTATTAGCAAAAGGCGTTGTTTTGAAAGAGAATTTTTCGCTGAAATCAAAAATAACGGTGTTTCCAGCTAATGAACGTTTAATGGATGAAGCAAGAGGTCAACCCGGAGACGGCCTAATGGACGTCTGTCTGGACGAAATAATACTGGCGGCACTAGTCTGGAGGTGACTTTCGTTGAATAGTGAAAATAAGAGGTCACCTCCTGCTTTCATCCTTCTACAACACGTTCGAAACATTTGTCAACTGTACACCAGGCGGATAAACAATTTTTATGATAGTGATATCACGTACTTCCAGGAATTTTGATATATGCATTCTATCAATGCCCGCTGATAGACTGGAACTGACGGAAATATATTGTATATTAAGGACAAAAACCATTTACAACCACAAAAGAAGAAATTGCTTCAAATTCATATTATTTCAGCTATGATCAACTTAATGAAGAGTCACTCTTCGTGAGAACATTAATAATGATATAATAAAGTTTATTAAATTTATAACCAATATTATGGAGTGGACATAAATTTACTCAGTAAAATATAAACAATACGGCATGGATACTCCGTCTGCCGGAAGGTGGTGATAACGTTTTAAGGGGCATCCGACAGCTTGGTCATTTCAGCCCCGAGCAGATGCGAAATATTACAACACGCATTCACACAAATAAATACATTCACACCTATATACATTGCTAAATAATAATAGCAAATAATAATAATGTAATCTAGTTGAGAGAGAGAGAGAGAGAGAGAGAGAGAGAAATTTTGTTTGTAGCAACCATGAATTAGGTATTACAATTGTCGAAAAATACATATGCATATCAAATTACAACGGTTATAAAATTATATATAGTGGTAAATAAAAAAATATTTTACAATAAATCAATCAAGGATAAAGCAGTTTATTTAAAACTTTCTAAAAATTCATCTGCAGTTGTTTTCATCTAAGTGTTTTAATTTGTCAGGTACCGCATCATAATATTTCACGAATCGAATATTTTGTACTATTTTGCGCGACTTTCAGTCTGTTACAGGTGGTGACAAGTTTTTTTACGAGATCTAGTTTCGTGGTTAAGTGAGGTAGTTATACATCTAAATTTATAAAGGTTATTTGTAACATATGTGATACACTTTAGAATATAGATACAGGGGAGAGTCAAAATCTTTAAATCAATAAAAGCTTGCCTACAGTCTTCTCTATATTTTAGTTTTGCAATAACACTGATTGGCTCTTGCGAGTCAAGAGCACGACCGGTAGATGGTCCTCAGAGAACCTAAGCAGGAGACGAGGGATCGTGCTCACCCGACTGAGGATTGGCCATACGCGGTTGACACAAGGGCACCTGCTTTTGGGCCAAATCCCGCGCAGGTGCCCCTTATGCAGAGAAAGGTTGCTCGATGTGTCTCACATAATAGAGGCGTGTCATGCATTGGCTCCATACAGGGAGCGTGTAGGCATGCCGCCGGAGTTAAGAAGAGTTCTCGAACACGATGGCGCGTTTCAGAGTCCCCTGTTCCGCTTTTTAGGGGAAATTTTTTTTTTTTATTGTATATAATATGTCTTATGTGTTGTGTCTATGTTTTGTCTGAGTGCATGTATTTATTAGCGTGAATGGCGAGGTGTGAGGGTGAAATATAACGTCATCATCGCCCCTCGAACGTTGAGAGCGTATGAGTGTGTGTTGAGGGTCGATGGCGGAATATTTATAAAAGTACGCCATCGACCCCAATCTAGATTAGTTTAAGTATAGATCGGTGGAGGAATATCAAGTACTCCACCGACCAAACGGAATGAGTATACTGTATGGATGTATTTATTTGTATGAATGTAGTGGTTGAAAGGGTAATTAGAATATAGACTTAGTTGGGGGTTGAAATGACCTAGATGTCGGAAGCCTCAGTCAAAAAAAAAAAAACCTGATTGCTTTTCTTTGTTTGGCTGTTGGAGCATGTCCCCACACCAATATGGAGTAAGATATATGAGCATGAAAGCAACCATGATATACTTTTATTTGTGTATCACTTGATATCTGTGTAGCTAGGCCTCTCAATAGAAATATATTTGTATTTAATTTTTTTATTAGATCTGTACAGTTGGCAGTCCGGCTTAGTTTGGTCAATTTTAATGCCTAATAGGCTAACCAATTCAGGATTTGTTTGGAGTTTTGAGAGGTCTCTTTGGCTTAGTGTAAGGATTTTACTTTTATTGTTATTGAGGCACAATCCATTTTCCCCAAACCATTTTTTGAGTTCATTTAAAGAATTCTTATTTGCTATATGTGCCTTCTCTAGGGATTTATCAGACCTCTGCAAATCCAGTCTAGGTATAATACTAGGTATACTTGTGGCAATGGGGTACTTTTATAAATATTCCGCCATCAGCCCCTCCTATTCACTCTAATAAATACACTCACTCATACAAAACACAGAAACAGAAAACGCATATTTTGAAGGCTATATACAATAAAAAATTCCCAATTACCCTAAAAAGAGGAACAGGGGACCTGAAACTCCCTACAGTGTCCGAGAACCATTCTTAAATCCAGCGGCATGCCTATAGTAATAATTATGATGATAATAATAATAACAGAATAAAGTAAAATATATAAATAAAATAACTAAATAATTGTATACACTGCAAAATAATATAAACCTCTCTGATTAAAAATTATTGTAAACGGTTAACAAAATAATAAATTTTCCTGAATTAAAGTAAATAACTAAATAGAAACTAATATAATGAATTAGCTAAATGCAATAAATTCAATAAAAATAGATCAAGTAAAAGAAATAAGGATAAACAAGAATAAAAGTAAGAAGGGAAATAAGTACACACATAAGAATAAAAAAGAACTAAAAATAATAATAACGTGGAATAATAGATATAATAAAAGAATGCTATCATGCAACATAATCCTTCCATATATATCCAGGCTGCCCTGGTGATCCTTTTCTTCTGAATACACTGCACCCGTAGAACAATCTTCTATATTCAGAAAGAATAGAGCAAAGCGCTATAAAATGGAAAATTTCCTCCCTTGCTTTCAAGTTACAAAGACGTCATTCTTCTCGTTCAGAAGCTTGGTACGTTTTGTAGTTCAAGTGAAACGACTCGCACCTTAACTTCACCAACCATCTGATGGATCGAGAATCTAAATTTTGATTGTTTTTTCCCGTCAAGCTTGCACACTTTACATTCGGTTTTAGTTCCCTGTATAGTGTGTAATTTTGGAACATCGTGGCCCTTGCCACAAAATCTTCTCTTAGGGATTCTCTAACAGATATAATTAGAAAATGGTTGGTTTTATGTGCACGAGTGTCAGAAAATTCAAATCAAGGATAGCGTTGAAATCATCATGTTTACGAGCTAGTGCCTTCCATTCAAACTCCCAAAATAGCCTTTTTTTCCACATTTCACATGCCATGATCTTTCGAAGCCTGTGCGATGGTAAACCTAAAACTCTCGTTATGTATTTAAAGTGGGAATTTAAAATGAAACACTTTAGTAAGAATAATAATTAACAAAACGCCACAAAACAGAAAGTAAGCAATGGACATTAAATATTTTAACAATTGGATGAGAATACAACCACGGTTTATAGAATAGCGTTTTTTTTATCGTAAAATATACTCTCCTGACGTGTACCTATGGAAAATCTGATATACCCTGTATATAAAATATGAATGTACATTCAAATGGGAATAGATTATCGAATCGAAAATAAGTCGTGTTGGACATGGATATACTGCTGTCAGTGTAAGGTCAATTGATAAATTTTAACAATCGATTAGGAAAATAGATAAAAATAAGATATGAACAAGAAAATATAAGGAACCATTATTGGATCTAACCATGCCAAAATGTTAAGCATCCATAGAGTCCTGTAATGGCTATAAATTGACCCTTTTGCCATTTTTCATAAGCTAGGAAAACTCAGGAAAACTCATAAGGTGGGGTTGAGATGGGGAGTTGATGTCCGAGTGGATCGAGGTCACGATAGCTCAGGTGGTAGAGCAGCGGCGTATCTAGCCGAAGGTCGTGGGTTCGAATCCCTCTCGTGCCATTAACTTTTTTTCATCTCAACTAAAACCCTTAATTAATTGTAATGTTTAATTGGTCAAGCGTACCACGAAATTAGTGAATATTATTACTATATTTTCTCTTCTTATAATAACATTTGTATATTTATCTTTAAAATCATGCATCTGTATTATTGCAACCTTTCGACATACGGTTGTAAAACCATCTTGTATAGTTTTTCAATAAACTGTATTGTTTATTTATGTAATGTTGAGCCAAGTTCAAAAGATTTCCTCAAGGTTTGATGCTGGATGTTGGTTGGTCTGCGAGTTTGTGAACTCATGCTGGACCGGCATTGGGTCCTTCTTCATTCCAACAAACCGGCGAGTGAAGACGGACCCAAAAAGTGATCCGATGCCAGTTCAACATGAGTTTTTTAAAAGGGTTTATGAGAAGTAGGTCGGATATTGTTTTCTTCTCAATGTTTTTTCCAAAATTAGTTATAAATGATGAAGTTTTTAACAGTATAGTTGGATGTTTGCCTATTTTGAGAATATTTGTAAAAAGGCGGGTCGGTGTGGAGTGGGGTAGTTGGCCGGGGCACCGTTTGGTGATGCGCGTAGCGGGGAGTGGAGCGCCGCAATGGCCGCTAGTCGACATTCTCCCCTCGTTAGGTCAGTCAGTCTCTGCCGTTCCTTCGATGTGAACACGTCGATCTCTTCTTTTTTTTGTTTAGTTTGACATTAGTTTTCTTTCGGTTTGTCAATCGCCCCGCTGCAGACTCGTCCACGAAGACGGAGTGCGCCTATTGATGTGCCTTGTTTTTTCTGTGCCGACAGTGATGTGATAAGTGCGGAACCGAGAGGGGAGAGAGGAAGAAGATTGGCGGAATTGGGACCAAATGTCCTGTGCCGGGGGCATTTGCGTGTCGTCCGGTGGCACATGTTGATGTTCCGGAGCCGTCGGAACGGATTGGCTAAGCGACTCTGGAGAGCTCGAATATCGGGTAATGAGGAAGGTCGCGAGGTGATCAAACGACTCCTGAAAAGGCTGAACGACGACCAGCTGGAGATGTTGGCGGAAGCAGTGGAGTGCCGGGGTGGAGACGCCACCGGCTGCATCCAGTTGGACCAACCGGCGGAGTGGGACTCGCCCCAGCTCGTCGCATGCCAGGTCTGGAGGTGGCCCGACCTCACGACGTGCAGGGAGCTCAAGAGGCTGCCTATCTGCAGGTCCGCCACCTCCGTCTGCTGCAACCCATACCATTGGAGCAGACTACTTCAACTCGGTGAGTACCCTAATACCTTACTTGACTCTCTTCTTTAAAGCCTACACATGTTCAAAATTTAGCGTACTTAATACATTTCATTCATGCCAAGTCCCAATTTCCAAGTTTCATACCCGAACACGTGACCGATCAACTATGACAAATATAATCATAAAACTATTCCCTGCTTTGTAAAACCTAAGTTTGGACGATGTTTTTGCATTATGTGTAATCTCTTGATACGTCATTGAAAGGTGTTACAAAAAATATCTAGCATTGATGATAGTGGATTGTTTATCAGCTAGAATTACCCAAGTCCAGTTTTATTTTCAGAAATTAACATGAATGATACTCAAGAGTTTGTTCTTTGTTTTGTTTATCCTCTAACATATCTCTTAGGATTAAAGTATCCTTCATCTTTAGATACATCTCTACGAAGAACTTTTTTTTAAATTTATTTTCTTACTATCATTTGATATGATTATCATATCTGCACCCTCGTGGCAAAACTGGATAATTTAAAAAAATCTTTCCAGGGTTACAATTTAAAGGCTTACTTGAATATGTACTGATCTCATTGTGATAAAAATTCTACTTATCCAACTGTACAAATTGAAGTCCTTAAAACTCAAATTGGTTCATGATTCATCATCTTCGTTGTTCATTATGCTGTGGGGTGGTTGATCATTCTCACAATAGCTACTTTAAATTATATATTTTTAATTTATAAGGCCTTATAAATTAGTGACTTTCATGTGACCTCCTAAATTTGTTTGAAACAAATGTTGTTTAGAGCAAATAAGAAAACAAAAACTCTGAACGAAAAATACTATTATTCAATTTGTAACTCTGATGACTTTTTCTTTGAGAGTTTAAGTTTTTGCTCTTTTCTTTTTGCACTAAACAATTTATCGCCATGTTTCATATAAAAAAATGTGAGATTCAACAATTTAGGAGATCATGTGAGACTCATACTTTCCAAGGCCTTATAAATTGCATACTTGGTCGAAATGTTGAATGTTTCATAGATGAAGAATCATATAAGGGTTATAGACGGAACATATTAGGGTTTTCGACATATGTCACCATTCTTATATGATCCAAAGTCATCTTTAACCTGTGGGTGATCATTCTTATTAAGTACATTCGTGATGGTATAAGGTCTGAAGGTATAAAGAGTGAAAAAAATTATGTTTGTCGCTAAGTTTTCGATATATGTCATACTGCTTATATGATCTTTTGTTATCATCTTTATGCTATCAGTCGATCATTCCTTCTTGATAATACGTTCTTTACATTAATTACAGGGGTTAAATCCTGGGTCGTCGAAATGTTAGATATCTTATAGTTCATATACGGTGAAGGCTATGTTTATGTTAAAATGTCAAGTTAGTAGGCATGGATTGTGTTATTATATTGTCAGACGTACGTCTGAACGATTAGTTGCGCTGCACATAAAGCTCATAGAGAGTCGGAACCCCTATTGTCGTCTCGACGTCTTCACAGTGGCTGGGTTTAACGGGAAATGCTCCACGTTTCCACAAGAAAGGAAGGGCGAAAAATCTATGTCCGGCGCATGCCTGGAGAACCGGTCAAAAATGAATGGTTCGCTGACAATCGCACATTCCCGAGGTCGTAAACGGGCCGGGCTTTTAAGGGTCAGCCAGGCAGGGATACAGAATGGCATTTAAGGTATGCCTTTCTCCCTTCTACGAACGGGGAAAGACGATATGAAACCTTTTTACGGAAAACGTATGGAAATTTGTGTAAAAATTGGCTGAGAGACAGACAGAAAGAAAGACAAATACAGACAGTTATACACACGAACATAACAAAAGACATGTCAAATCAATCAAAACAAATTGTTTATATGACTAAACCCAAAAATTGCCTACATATTCTTAATAGTTGTCCAAACTAGAGGATTTCAATATCAAAAATGAGTCATTTGCCTCTTTTTGTCCAAAAATGCTATTTCTGCATGTTTATTTTTTATTTATATATTTTTTAATACTGAATACTAGCGCTTCAATACGTCCTCTCTAAATACCCCTCTAAATATAAACCAATGAATGAAGTGTAAGTTTAGATAAATTATTATTTTTTAAATATATTATTCCATTTGAATAATGGAACTTATACAGTTAAATTTTCAAACTCTTCGGATTTCCTATAAAATACATCAAATTGGCTCCTTCTAATTAATAAACTTGTGGATTGATTTATTACCAATATCTCTTTTAAAGTGAGTCGTCATATTACAATTGGGTACAATTAAATGAATTGATATTAAAGTAATATTGATTTTTTTTAATTTATGACAATTGAATATTATTTTAGGAATAAATTTAATCCTTAGCATGTTCAAAGTCTTTTGGAACTTTTAATGAATAAGCATAAACATAAAATCGAGATGTTTTTTATATTTATCTGTCTTTATCCTCATATTACAAGGTGTACCACTCGTTCTAATTTTTTAAATATTTAATATAAGGCATTAGAACCTTAAGTTTGGATTAAACCCTTAGCATGTTGAAAGACAAGTGAACTTTTTTAATTAATAAATATAACCATAAAATCGAGATTTTTTAGGTTTATCTTATTTCAAGTCGTCTTATTTCAAGGAGCCCTATTAGATACAATTTTTTAATTTAAGGCAATTGAACCTTCTTTGAGAACTAAACGTAAGCTTTTGCATGTTCAAAGACACGTGGAAATTTTTTATGAGTAAGCATAAGCATAAAATCGAGTTGTTTGTTTTATGTTTATCTGTCTTTCTCCATTATATTACTAGGAGTACAGTTAAATACAATTTTTTATTTAATTTAATACGATTGAACCTTATTTGAGGATTAAACGTAAGCTTTTGCATGTTCAAAGACTTGTGGAATTTTTTTGTGAAAAATCATAAGCATAAAATCTAGACGTTTTTGTTTCTCTGTTATATTACAAAGACTACAATTCGATACTATTTTTTATTTTATTTAATACGATTGAGCCTTATTTGAGGATTAAAATTAAGCCTTAGCTCATACAAAGAGTTTTTATTACAGACTTATGGAATGTTTTTATGAATAATATAAGCATAAACCGGAGATGTTTGTACGTTTATCTGAGCATTTCTTTGTCTGAAATGTTGAATATGTATGTTAAATAGGACATGAAAGCGTTCAATTCGTTCTGGAAAACTCGCATTGGGTTCCGTTTAAAAATAATTCTCCGTGGGAGCGTGTGTGGTGTGTGTGTTGTGTTGTGTTTGTGTGTGTGCATGCGAGTCTAGCGCCACTTTGGTAACCTGTTGCTAACCTTGTGGTCTCCCCACTTGCACACCGCGCCCGCACCAATTTCACTTTAATGGAATTCTTTTCCTCGACATCTGTCACCGGCGTCTGCCCGACGGGAAACGGCCCCGACGTCTCGTCCGGTCGAGTTTTCCGCCGATTTTCCATCTCCCCTGGTATGCAGTCTGCTTACTTTAATGCGGGTCTGAGCGGAAAATGTGGACACCAGATTTGATATTCCATATCTAATCAATTATCCCTGTCGATTAAAACTGTATCTCCATGTCTTCCTTGTAATATCTATTTATACTGTATTTACTTCTTCTTCTTCTACTTACTACATTATACTTTTTCTTTTTCACACCTGCTTTCTTTAGTAGAAAGCATATGTATATATTGGTATGTTAGAAAAGAGAATATTTAAAACACATTTACCCAAATTTGGCTAAAGAAAATAATGTATCTGTGATATGTAGACTTGTTAATATAAATTATCAGTTTAAATACTCAAGAACACCTAAGGGTTGGTATGACCTCTGCTGTTGCGAACGTTCATAAAAAAAGCCAAAAACCCCAGAGTGGTAGAAAATATTTTCTACATTTTTTAATTCTGTGCCTGTTCTCTCTCTCTCTCTCTCTCTCTCTCTCTCTCTCTCTCTCTCTCTCTCTCTCTCCTCTCTTTCTCTTTCTCTATCTAATTCTTTATTCATATATTTGCCTAATTAACCATTTTTCTGTCTTTAGCGTTCGTCTTATTTCTTTTAATTTTTTCTAACAATTTCAACTTATTTTGCTTGTTCTAATCAATTTGGTCTGCCTATCCTCACTGTTCTGATATGTTTCGGATTCTTGCCATCTTCAGTTGGGTGACTCCGCTTTATTTTCGCTACAGGCCCACCAAATCTTCTAAATTTGGTATTTAATAGGCATAGTAAAAAGTGTCTTGTGGAACTTGAATTTTACTTTTGGCAAATGTTGGGTATTAAAATTATCTTATAGACTTATATTTAAAAGAAGATTTTCGTCTTTATTTTTATGAGCGGTTTCAGTGGTTTCCCACTCAGACCATCAAGCAAATAGGTGCTGGAAACATTTTTATGAGTTGCCTAAATATCGTTTCCTCGTATCATTGCAATATCTTGGATGAAACCGCATTCAGATTTCTTTTATTTTCCAGTTTATTTGTATAGATATTGTATATTTGTGTAGATTTAATATACAATATACCCATCACTGAAATATGTCTTTAGTAACGAAAAAACAAAAATGACTGGGTGTTTTTGGATTAACAGTATAGTTTGTCGAAAGAAAGCGTTTGCAAATAAAATCATTTTTGCCATGACTAAGTATTTTTTCGTGTCCTGAATCTCGAGAAATTCGAGAACTCTTTAAACACGCGTTGTTGCAATTATTGTAAACGCTGATCCGGTAAAATCCACCATGGCGGATAAATACACCGATGAATCTTGTTTGTTGTTGTTGTTTTCCTCGCATCCACAACATTCCGATCCGAACACATTGCTCTTGTTGTTTTCCTCCTGGCGTTTTGCGCTTGTCCGTTTGTTTGCGTGTTGTCAGTTGGCCGATAAAGGCAGATAGGAAGACAGGAGCCGGGTGATTGACTTTTGCGAGAAGAGCCCGCTTCTGAGAAGCCGATAAGGACGGATCATGTACGTTACGGACGATCGTGCTTCCAAATTCCACTATTTTCACCTTTTGACACTAATGGACAGATAGTTT